CGCCATTTAATGTCCTTCTTGCCCATGTTTACACTAAAATCGTTGTTGAGATTTTCGATTCAGCTTTAGAAATGCTTTTGGCGAGCTAACAAAGCCACTCTCTGAGGCTGAGACAATTACAGCAGCTAATTGCTGAAGCTGAAATAATTCCACACAAAGAAATTCCCCATTGCATTTACTTTGCTTCATTTTCAAACTTTTTTTCAAAAGCTGTTCATTTGGCGTTTATTCTTTTGCAATCCTTTCTGAGGTTTCTTATGCACAGGTAAAAAGAAGTAGTTGAGTTTTTGCTGTCCTTAATGTTTGCTTTTTCTTAGCGATTACATAAACTTGTGTATTTCTTTTGCTGTGTCATGCATTTTCTCAGGTGTTTACTAAATTTTATTGATTCCAAGAGATTTTCGTTTTTTACTATTACAAGGTAACTCATATCATAAATGGCGTTCATTTCAACGTGACTTAAAAAACTAAGGTTAGGCGTGATACTGAAAAAACCCATAATCAATGGTTGCTCGTAGGAACGCACATAATAATATTGTGCAATTCAGATAATTACCGTGAGCATTACTTATGCATGTCAGCTCACTTGAAAAAATTGCAACGAACACACGCGAGCAGAGCATTTTTCTTGCATCAGGGGGCTGAACCCGAATGTTTCAGACACTGGAGGGCCCGTACTGGTTACGGTGAATATCTACCTTCGTTCGATTTCGAAAATCGACGATGTGAATATGGAGTACAGTGCTCAGTTCACGTTTCGGGAAGAGTGGGTGGATGCCCGATTGGCCTATGGTCGCTTCGAAGATGAGTCCACCGAGGTTAGCGCTGGCTTTTTTCTCAGATTAGCAAAGCTTCGAGAGCTTTCAACGACTCTTCTCAGGTGCCTCCGTTTGTCGTTTTGGCAACAAGCGAAAACGCAGACCAATCGCAGCAAATCTGGATGCCAGACACTTTTTTCCAGAATGAGAAGTGGGTTGTTTGTTGTTCTTCCGATGCTATCAAGGGGTCCTTAGGCGATTTTGCGCAATCGTGAAGGGGTCTTCTTGTATCTGGCTGGAGAGCGCAAGTTCAAGGGCAAAGAAAAGTCTCGAGTAGTAATTACAATTGCGTACCTCGTTAGAACTCTTGACGGCTCTTGTCCTGATTTGGAAATCAGATTCGTGTTACATACACTGAGAATGCACTTAGGTATCAATTGCTCTGCTGCTTC